ACTGCTACAAAGAAGAATGCAGAAGAGGTAAGGGAAAATGAAGTGGACATTGGCAATGCCTTCAAAGCATTAGTTGATACTGCTCAGAAGATAGTTCAATTATCTGAAGCTCAAGGTGTGAGGAAGAAGCAGACTAAGAAGGCTAGAGAAGGTGATCCACAATAAACACCCATATTATGTTGAACATTATAGCATGGAATGTGAGAGGTATGAATAAAGTATATAAGCAAAAAGAACTAAAAGAATTGTAGGACAAATAAAGTGGTTCTGGTAGCTATTATAGAACATAAAGTGAAGAAAAGCAATGCAGACTCAATAATAAAGAAGACTTTCAATAACTGGAGGTGGACTGGCAACTATAATGAAGCTCCAGGTGGTAGAATATGGGTAGCATGGGATCCAGCTCAGGTGGACTAGTTAATGATCAGAACTCATGAGCAATTTATAATGGGGAAGGTAACTATGATGCTGCACAGAACCAATTTCAATTACTGTGCCGTTTATGGTAAACACATAGTCTAGGATAGGAAAAGTTTATGGGAGGAATTGAAGGTGTCGATGCAGGGTATGAACAATCCTTGTCTCATAATGGGGGATTTCAATACTATCTTAACTAGTGAGGATAGAATCAATGGAACCCTGTGCAGGAGAGTGAGATAAGGGATTTTAAGGAGTTCATAGTGGATGCAGGATTAGATGAATTGAAGACTGTGGGTAGGAAGTACACATGGACTAATAACCATGTCCGTAGCAGGAGTGACAGAATCCTGGTTAATGCAGAATGGGTACAACAATGGCCTTACATGGAGGGAATCATTATGAATCAAGGTTTTTCATATCACAGTCCCTTAAGTGTGGGATTTGAAATCACCAACCAAGCAGGCATGAGACCCTTCAAATTTCTCAACTGTTTGGCAAGCTTAACTGAGTTTGATGGAACAGTAAGGCAAGTCTGGAGGAACAGCAAAAAAAGATCTGCCATGTTTTCTGTGTGGAATAAACTCAAAACGCTAAAAGGGGCCCTAAAGCAACTGAATAAGCAAGAGTTCAGTGGAATAGAAAGCAAAATCCAAGCAGCAAGGGGGAGATTAGAAAGTATACAACAGCAACTGAACACCCCAAGTCAAGATCATGAGGCAGTAGCTCTTGAAAAAGCTACAAAGTTAGATTTGGAGAAGTGGCTGATGGTTGAGGAAAGTGTTATAAAACAGAAATCCAGGATACAGTGGCTTAAGCTTGGTGATTCTAACACAACATACTATCATGCTTGCATTGGCAAGCACGGAATAGCATTAACAAATTAGTCACTAGAACTGGGTAACTCCTACAAAGTCTAGCTGAAGTGGAGGAAGAATTCCTAAGCTTCTATAGGGGTTTACTTGGTACTGAAGCAGCACAACTGCCAGTTGTTAATCTTGAGATCATGCAGAAGGGCCATATACTAAATAGGAGGCAACAATTGCAGCTAATAAGACCAGTTACTTGAGAAGAAGTGAAACAAGCTATAATGGACATTGATGACAACAAGGCACCAGGGTGTGATGGGTACACTTTCTTCTTCAAGAAAACATGGCACATATTGGGGAGGAAGTGACTGCACCAGTTAAAGAGTTCTTTGAAAGTACAGATATGTGCAAAGCCATTAACTGCACAACAATCACCTTGATACCAAAGATTCAGAATCCAACAAACATAAGGGATTTCAGGCCAATTTCATGCTGCACATTTCTTTATAAGATAATTTCAAAAGTACTCACAGCAAGTATGCAGGATGTGATGGAAGAACTGATAGATAATTGTCAAGCTGCCTTTGTACCTGGGAGATTGATTACAGGCAACATTCTTATGAGCCATGAACCGGTCAAGGGATATGGGAGGAAGAATATTTCTCCTAGATGTATGCTCAAAATAGATATGCAAAAGGCATACGACTCTGTGGAATGGGTGTACATTGAACAAGTACTGAGGTTATTAAACTTCCCTGAAATATTTGTGAAGTGGATAATGGCTTGCATCACAACTGTGTCCTATTCTGTGTTAATCAACGGTAAGCCCTCTATACCATTTGAAGCAAGAAAAGGTTTAAGCAAGGAGATCCACTATCCCCTTTCCTATTTGTTATAGCAATGGAGTACCTAAGTACGTCTTTGAAACACTGAAGGGCAATAAACAGTTTAAATTCCATCCAAGGTGTGCCAAATTCAACCTAGTTCAACGGGATTTGCAGATGACTTACTCATATTTTGTAGAGGTGATATGCAATCAGTCCAGATGCTGCACAAGCACTTCCAAATGTTCTCAGCAGCATCAGGTCTAATTGCTAATCCAAATAAAAGCAACATTTATTTCGGTGGTGCAAACAACATGATCCAACAGCAAATTATGGACATACTAGGCTACACTAATTGTGAGCTACCATTCAGATATCTAGGTGTTCGTTTGAGCACAAAGAGACTGTCTGCCATTCAATGTGAGCCCTTAATAGAGAGGATACTAAGCAGAATTCAAAGCTGGACCACAAAGTTTCTATCATATGCTGGAAGAGCAATCCTAGTCAAGAGTGTGCTATTTGCTATACAAACTTTCTGGGCTCAGATCTTCATCTTGCCCAAGAAAATTGTTCATTTTATAAAAGCAATTTGTAGAAGGTTCCTATAGACAAGAAATGTTGAACCAACAAAGAAGGCTTTGATAGCTTGGGACAAACTGTGTGCACCAAAAGTAGCTGGGGGATTGAACTTTATCAATGTGGAGCTATGGAACGAGGCAGCCATTTGCAAGTTACTATGGAGTATTTGCACAAGGAAAGAGAAGATGTGGATTCAATGGGTACATACTTATTACATAAAGGGGAACACAGTCTGTAATACAGAACCAAAGAATGCATCATGGGCCATACAAAAGATTTTTAAAGCAAGGAACTACTTTGCAAATGCAGGGCTCTCATAAGAAGATGTTCAGAAGATGGAGAAATGTTCTGTCAAGCAACTATACAGAACCATGCAAGGAGACTTTCCTAAGGTGACATGGAGGAAACTAGTGTGCAACAATCAGGGACAACCCAAGTGGACATCCATTCTAAGGCTGGCAATTCAGCAAAGACTGGTTACTAAAGAAAGGCTAGCAAGATGGGTTATGATTGAAGGTCAAACTTGCTCATTCTGTAACAAGGAAAATGAGACAGTGCAACATCTATTTTTTTGACTGAGATAATAGGGAAGATATGGCTTCGACTACCGGAATGGCAAGGTATAGAAAGACCAAAAAAAGCTTGGCAAGAGAAAGTGACATGGATGACACAGGTAAGCAAGGGAAAGAGTGCAGGAGCAGCAGTATGTAGGATGATCCTAGCAGGTGCAGTCTACCATAATTGGCAAGAAAGAAATAGTGTGATTTTTCAGAAGAGGAGAACAAGTAATGTCATATTACGACTGATCATACAGGAAGTTCATATAAGGGCTGCCAAATTTCCTTATCTAGATAGAGCAATGAAGAATTTGAATTGGTACCCTGTGATAAATTAGAGTATGAAGTAGCGTTTAAGCTGTAGAAGTAGCAGAAGTTCTAAAGATAGGTATCTCCTAGCTGGGGCTTTATGTCCAGCAGGAAGTATACTAGAGTTTTGATCTTGTAATAAGAAGTACGAACTGTAAATATTGTTACTTGGTAAATAAAATACTTTAATTACAAAAAAAAAAGTTCAAGTATTGAAAATAAATAATTTTTTTAGGAAGCGTTTTTACGATACTTTGCGTCTCCTCATGGCCGGTTTATGCACAAGCAGAATCACAGTGAAATGTTGCTTCTTCTTCACTTCACCGTTAGCGTTGACCTTTCGGTTAGCTTTATTAAAGTGCTGTCAGCCTTGGACTAAGGGTGGTTTGGTACGAAGAAAATATTTTTCAATTTTCCAATGTTTGGTTGGTTTAAATGTTTTGGAAAATATTTTCCTCGTGAACTTATTTTCCTCCAATTAGAGGAAAATCCTTCTCCACCTTATTTTCCATCCTCACCAACCCACCCCCCACT